GTAGAGGCCGAACTCCGCAACAGTTGCTCTTCCCAGGAAGACCAAAGTGTCTCCTTTGGTGTCTCCTTTTGTCTCCAAACAAACGTCCAGCTGCGAGCCGCTGCTGAGGGCCCGCGAGGGGCCCGGCTGTAGCAGCAAACCGCTGAGGAGACAAAGGAGACACTTTTGTGCTGTTTAAGGAGACACTTTTGTTGCTTACAAGGAGACACTTTTGTGCTGTTTAAGGAGACACTTTTGTTTATTAAAAGGAGACCCTTTGATTGTGTTAAGAGGAGACACTTTATAGTAGTAAGTGGAGATACTTTAATGCATTTAAAGGAGATACTTTAATTGTATTAAAAGGAGGCACTTTAATGCAATTCAAGGAGACACTTTCATTGTTTTAAAAGGAGACACTTTCGAGCAATACAAGGAGAACTTTTGATTGTATTAAAAGGAGATACTTACATTGTATTAAAAGGAAACACTTCAATGCAATTTCAATTCTAATTAAAGGAGACAGTTTCACTGTAATTAAAGGAGACACCTTGATGCAGCTGAAGGAGACAACTTCATAAGAATTAAAGAAGAAGTTTTCATTCTAATTCAGGGAGACACTTAAGTGCAATTAGAGGAGACACTTTAATTCCAATTGAAGGAGACACCTTTGTTGCTTACAAAGAGACACTTTAATTGCAGTTAAAGGAGACACTTTAACTGCAGCCTTACAAGGCTATAAAAGGTCTAGAGGCTTGAAAAGAAGTTTCAAAGAATTTAAAAGAATTTAAAAGAATTTAAAAGAATTTAAAAGAATTTAAACGTTTAAAAGAACTAAACGGATGTTAAAAGAAGTTTAAAAGACTTTAAAAGACTTTAAAAGACTTTAAAAGACTTTAAAAGACTTTAAAAGACTTTAAAAGATTTTAAAAGACTTTAAAGGACTTCAAAAGAATTAAAACGTCCCCAAAGGGAGTAAAAATGCCAAAAGAACGAAAAGGGACTCCAAAATAAAAAGACAAAGTAAAAAGAAACAAAAAAGAAACAAACAAGAAATAAAAGGAAACAAAAAGAAATAAGGAAACAAAAGGAAATAAAAAGAAACGAAAGGAAATAAAAAGAAACAAAAAGAAACAAAAGGAAGTAAAGGAAATAAAAGAAATAAAACTAAAAAGAAACAAAATAAAAAACAAAATAAAAGCAATAAAAGAGACCGACCTGGCGCGAATGACCTGGCGGTCCGCCTGCTGCTGGAAGCTGGAGACAGCAGCAGCAGCAGCCAAAGTGTCTCCGCGGCAAAGTGTCTCCTCGGTGTCTCCTTTTGCTGCTGTCTCCTTCAGCGAAAAGGAGACAGTCTCCAAATCCAAAGGAGACCCTCCGTGCAGCACGAACAAAGAGAACTGCGTCTCGTTCGCCCCCGAGGAGGAGACAGCGTACGGAACCACCACCCGCTTCGATAGGTCAAACCCTGCGCCAAACCCTAAACCCTAAACCCTAAACCCTAAACCCTAAACGGTAGACGGCCCTCCCAAGCCCTAGTAGACAGAGCGAATTCGGAAAACACCAGCTAGCCCTAGACAGCACTGGGGGAACTTTGGAAGCCCCGAAGCCCGACAAACCCTAAACCCTCCAAACCCTAAACCCTCAAACCCTAAACCCTAGCTAACCCAAACCCTCGCAAACCCTAGCAACCCGTAAACCCTCGTCCCCGTGAAACACCGTGCTGCGTCCCGCGACGCTGAGAACCCCGCGTCTGCGCAGCCACCGCCCCCGCCGTCCAAGGGCTTAGGGTTTAGGGTTTAGGGTTTAGGGTTTAGGGTTTAGGGTTTAGGGTTTAGGGTTTAGGGTTTAGGGTTTAGGGTTTAGGGTTTAGGGTTTAGGGTTTAGGGTTTAGGGTTTAGGGTTTAGGGTTTAGGGTTTGCGCGCCCTTGGTTTTGAACTTGGTGGCGAAGCCCACGGCGAGCCCCTCAGTGCCCTCGCCCGTCCAGCAAACCACAAACTCCTCCAAAGTCCCCAAGGAGACTGTCTCCGTTTGGCCCACGAGATAGTCGCTGTGGCCAACTGAAAAGGAGACAAAGGAGACACTTTTTTCGAGGGTGAAGGCCTCGCGCAGCCAGGCCCCCGCGATGCCCCTGGGGGCCCCCCGGGGGGCCCCCCCGGGGCCCCCCCGGGCCCCCAGGTGTCCCTCCAGGACCCTCAGGGTTTGGCCCAAGTGCCGAAGGAGACACTTGCTTCTGTCTCCTCCCCTCAAGATGTCTATTCTGTCTCCTTTTCCAAACCCCACACCTGCGAGGGACAGCGAGAAGGGACTCCCTGTTTCGTAGGTTGGCAGCACCTTCAGTTCCGAAGGAATGGGCCCTGCAAACCCACAAACCCTAAACCCTAAACCCTAAACCCTAAACCCTAAACCCTAGCCGCCCCCGCAGCCTCCCCAACCCCGACGCTCCCACGCTCCCTCAGCACCCCTCAACCTCCGCCTCGCGCTTACCAACTACGCCCTAGAGTTTAAAATCCAGAATTTAGGGTTTAGGGTTTAGGGTTTAGGGTCTAGGGTCTAGGGACTAGAACTTAGGGTTTAGGGTCTGGGGCACAGATGGAGGGTCTCGGGGCCAGAACTAGGGTTAAGGGTTTAGGGTTTAGGGTTTAGGGTTTAGGGTTTAGGGTCTAGGGTCTAGGGACTAGAACTTAGGGTTTAGGGTCGGGGGCAGAGACTGAGGGTCTGGGGGCCAGAACCGAGGCTTAGGGCTTAGAGTTTAGGGTTTAGGGTTTAGGGTTTAGGGTTTAGGGTTTGCCTTTGACGGTGAGTCTGCCTGCGTGGATGTTGAAGTGCTGGGGCTGCGTGCAAGTGCCGTCGGCGGCGAAGTCTCCGTTGGCGACGAACTCGAAGTCGCAAATGCAAATCAAAAGAGACCCTCGCGAAGTGTCTCCGATTTGAAAGTGTCTCCAAATTAGGGTTTGCGCGAGGCCCTCTTCGACGAGGGTTTCGGGGGTCTCCGTGGGGACACCCCAGTCGTCGCTCGGTACGTACACCCCGCGCGCCAGCTGCAGCTGTGGGGCCCCACACACCGCCCCCCCCGCTGCTGCTGCTGCTGCTGCTGCTGCTGCTGTCTCCGAAGTGTCTCCTGTCTCCTCCTGGAAAAGCCGCACGGCCTTGTAAGGAGACACTCCTTTGGAGGCGAACTCGATGGAGACAGTGGTCCCCGGCTGTACGTACACCCGGCTCACCCCTGCAGCAAACCACACTCGCTTTGCGCCCTGCTGCTGTCTCCTTTCGCCCCCCAAAGAGACAAAGGAGACAAAAGGAGACACAAGGGCCCGAAAAGGAGACACAGCAGGGGACGCGAAAGCAGACACGAAGGGAGTTCCAGCGAGACAGAAGGGGCGAGAGAAAGAGACGAGAAACAGACGCAAAAAGGGACAAAAAGGGACAAAAAGGGACAAAAAGGGACAAAAAGGGACAAAAGGGGACAAAAGGGGACAAAAAGGGACAAAAAGGGACAAAAGGGGACAAAAAGGGACAAAAAGGGACAAAAAGGGACAAAAAGGGACAAAAAGGGACAAAAGGGGACAAAAAGCGACACAGGAGACGCTGCTGCAGGGGCGAGGAAGCTATAAACAAATGGAATAAATAAATAGAACAAATAAAGAAATTAAATTACATTCAAGTAAAGGAATAAATAAATAGTGGACTAATCCGTAAAACGTAAAATGGTCTAATTGGCAGAAAGCAAAGGGAGACAAATGGGGTTTAAAAGGAGACAGCGGCAGCTGGCAATTGGCGCGTGCAAAAAAGCCCCAAAAAGGAGACAGTTGCGCCAAGGAGACAAACGGAGACAGGAGAATCAAAAGGAGACAATTTAAACACACAGATTCAAAGACACGAAAAGGAGACAGATGAATAACTCTACAGGCGACAGTGGAGACACCAAGAGCAGCAGCAGCAGCAGCAGCAGCAGCAGCAGCAGCAGCAGCAGCAGCAGCAGCAGCAGCAGCAGCAACAGCAGCAAAAAGGAGACAGCAGCTGCTTGGAGGCAAAAGGAAAAGGAGACAAAAAAGAAAAAATGGGAGATGAGGGAAGCTCAAAAAGGGGGCAAAAAAGACTTCAAAGAAGATAAAATTGAGACAGATAAAGGGGGACAAAAGAGGAATAAAAGAAAAGACAAAATAAAACGAGAAAGGGGATTCAAAAGAGACAAGAAAGAGACAAAAAGGAGACAAAAAAGAGATAAAAAGGAGACAAAAAGGAGATAAAAACGGAGATAAAAAGGAAGCAAAAGGGAGAAGACAAAGTGCGAAAGAAAATAAAAAGGAGACAAAAATGAACAAAAAAGAGGAAACAAAAGAGTTAAAGAAAAAGACAGAAAAGGAGACAACGGAAGGTCTAAAGGAGACAGAAGAAGATGTTGAAAGAGGAGCCAAAAGAAAGAAATAAAAAAGGACGGAAGAGGAGACAAAAATGAGAAAGAGAAACAAAAGGGGACAAATGGATTAGGTCGAAGACTAAAGAGACCCTAAACGAAAATTGGAAAAGAGATGAAAGGGGACAGAAGAGGGGACCAAAAGGGGACAAAAAAGGGACCCGAAAGAGGAGAAAGAAGCGGAGAAAGGAGACAAAAAAGAGACAAGAAACAGTTGCAAAGGAGACACAAGAAGAGACAAAGAAGAACAAGAAGGAGACACAAAAGACTCGAAAAGGGCCCAAAAAAGGAAGCAAGAAGAAGGAAAAAGGGACCGAAAAATGTCCTCAAAGGAGTAAAGAAGAGGAGACAAAAAGGGTCCAAAAGGTGGCACGAAAAGCATAAAAAATAGGCAAGAAAAGGGAGAAAGAGAAGCAAAAGAGAAGAGAAAGGAGACGAAAAGGAGACCCAAAAGGCGCCGAAAGAGACATAAAGACGAAAAGTCCGGAAACGGCCCTTTGAAGCAGCAAAAGAAGCGCCAAAAAGCGCCAGAAAAGAGCCAAAAGCTCCCCAAAAGCGAGCCAAAGAGACACAAAAGGAGACAGCAAAAGGCGCCAAACGCGAGCCAAAGAGAGACAAAAGGAGACAGCAAAAGGCGCCAAACGCGAGCCAAAGAGACACAAAAG